TCTGCACAGTCCAGTGCTCTGAAGCAGCTTTGCTCAGCTCCATGGTTGCACAGAATGCCTGGGAGCATTGGGGGGAGGGAGAGTGGTACAGCAACATGAGAATCAAAAAAAAAAAAAAACCATTAAAAAAGAAGGGATTTTGAGTCGGGCAGGAGGTGCTGCTCTATCGGAAGAGGCGGTAGAGCCGCGGGAGCCGCCCGTCCTTGCTGGAAAGGGCAGCCTGGATGTGCTCATATGTGGGCAGATCTGTCAGGTCACCCAGGGCAGCCACTGCTGGCTTCTTATGCAGCATCTTAGTCACCACCCTCTTGATATCAGTGGGTTTCACTTGACCTGCAGACAGAAAAAAGGCAGAGCTGTGACACCTCCATTGTGAACAGCACAAAGCAGCTTTGGGCTGATGCTCAGAAAACCAACTCCATATCTTCCCTACGATGATTCTCACCTTCTCTTCCTTCTGACTAAAATAAGTCCTGTGTTAGCTTGACAGCAATTAAGCTCAGTTTGAAATGTATTTCTGTAGTATTTATACCCCCAGGCTTTCAGAGGAAATTCATAAGTGCTACAAGAATATTTTAACTGTACCTACAACTGTAGGTACAGTTGCCCACAAGGCAAAGCTTTGTCTACTCACTTATGAGGGCACAGAGCTCATGAGGTAGCTTCCTTGTGCTTGTTGCCAAAACCTGCCTCCCCACATCTTCAAAGATCACTGGCCGAGACTCCAGGTTCATCATGAGCATGGACTTGAGCTGTGTCTTTGCTCTCTCAAGTTCCACCTGTGAATGAGCAGGAAATTTAAAAATCTGGTTGCTGCTCTGTAGTATAAGGTAATGTGGAAGTGTTCTGCAGACACCTCTCTCTTTGTGGATGCACTGCTAACGTTGCTGTATTCTTTTACAGAAAATGTAACAAAATTATCCATCAAAATCTATTCTAGCTCTATCAGTGCAATGCATTCACAGAATCCCAGACTGGTTTGGGTTGGAAGGGACCTTAAACTCATCCACTTCCATCCCTGCCATGGGCAGGGCCACCTCCCATTACCCCAGGTTGCTCCAATCCCTGTCCAGCCTGGCCTTGGACACTTCCAGGGATTATTTCATCTGCAAACTCAAATGTGCTGCTGACCTCTCCCACTGCTCCTGCCATGAGGATGAATTCCCTGGTGATGATTTCCACCATCTCCCGAACCTGGAGAAAACAGACCATGGAAAGAAGATCAGAGCAATGCTTCTTGTGTGCACAGAACTCTCTGGTACTGAGTGATGTGGTGGTCACAGTTTAGGGACTCTGAGTACAGAACTCTGTACCTGTTTTGGATCTGCACTGGCATGGATACACAGGAGACCTGTGTCCTCATAGCTGTGGTGGTAAGAGGTGGCATTGTACATCCAGTGGTGCCTGTGAGTATACAAACAGTATTTTAAAATTTAAAACCCAGAATTTACCACGTAAAAATTCAACATGGACAGTGAGCACCCTCCTAGTGCACTTTCAGGATTCTCAGCAGTGCAGTGAGAATTGTCTATCCCTGCCTCTGACAATTTATGCATGTGGCATCTACTTCCTTCTCTCCACTTAAATCCTTGAGACTAAACCCAGGACAATACACAGCCAATCCTGTTAATATTCCCTGATTAAAGCATGTACAGGACTAGCAGAAGAAAACAGAATTCCTGGTCAGTTCTGCCCTTTACTTTTCACCCTCTCAAAATGCCAACTGACACGCCAGTCCCACGTTCCAAGCAGAACAAACTGATGTAAAACCTGGTGAGGTTTGCTTTTTTTTTTTCCATGTAAATCTCCTTCAGGATTGTTTCTGCCACCCCTTAAACAGCAAGACAAACCAACCTGTTGAGCACATTGAGGTACAGCCGGGTGAACATGCCCTTGCCAGGCCCTCCAGCTGAAAAAGAGCCACCACCTCCCATCATCATGTTTAGCACCGCAAAAGGAATGAAATCGTCCTCCTGGATTGGAACAAAAAACTCAGGTAATGGCAGAGCTCTCGAGAGTCTGGGGTGAGTAAAGGGGAGAAAAAAAACACAGCACAAGAGCAGTGTGAAGGTCAAGGCCTTCAGCAAAATGTCAAAGAAAATGCTGTTTGTTTAGATGTGCAGCAGCAAAAATGTCAATGGTTGTGTAATGGATCAGTGATCCTGGGATTCTCCAAGTATAGGGCAAAATGAAGGATTTCAGGTTAATACTTACTAAAAACGAGCAGCTTTCTAACCCAATCATGATGTGGGTGAGCTCTGGGATGGGAGTAGGGCCCAGACTCACATCAGACATGTCTTTTTCAACCTGTGGGAAAGGCAGACAGATTATTAACACCAATTTTCACAGCTACTGTACCCAGTTTGATACCTTCCAAATAATTACCATGCCACCCAATTAACAACTGTCATTGGCCCGTCTGGGCTCATGCTCATGAAATGTAACTTAAGAAAAGCAAAAGCCTGGAGAGAAATCAGCAAATCCCAGCAAGGTGCTGGATGCCACCTCCACCACGTACCTTGATGATGCCTCCGGTGTACTGAGCCACGGACCTGTCCACAGCCCTGCCCTGCCCAGAGCCCCACACGGGCTCCACCCCCAGCAGGTATTTCCTGGCACACTCCACCAGGTGCTCGTGCTCAATCCCCACCCCAGCCAGCACCATCCTGTCTGGGGTGTAGTAACTGCTCAGGTAGGAGTGCAGCACGTCCCGGTCGATTTTGTCCGTGTTTTCCACGGGGCAGAACCTGTTCAGTCCCACTGTGTTGTCTCTGAAGGCTGCCTAAAAGGGAATAGGCACATTCAAGTCACAAACATCACTTCATTTTTCCCTAAATCCTTCTGTTAACATCTTTTTGCTTTGGAATTAAGCCCACATCTCAGAGAGGAAAAGCTGAGCATTATTTCACTAATGTCAGTGCAACTCAGTAACATTTTGTCACCTGTATCAACAAAGGGAAGTTACAGACAGAGTTTTGTTTTTTTAGTTAGGGTTAGAATCTTCCACATGTGGAGAAGGCTGGATTTCAGAGTGAAAGGACAGCCAAATTCTCCCATCACAGAAACTGAATAACAAAAAATCTACTTTTTAGTCTAAAGCAAACCCTGCAGCTGGCAAAAATCTGCTGGCAAAAAAAAAAAAAAAAGGAAGAGAATGCAGCAGGAAGTTTGCATGCAGGGTGGGATTCCCAGTGTGTTACCGCATGGATCATTTCTGTGAGGAGAGGCTCTGGGTCAGGTCTCATATTCAGATCCTCCAGCTCAAACCTTATGGCCATTCGGGTCATCTCAATTTCCTCATCTGCAACAAAACAAAGCAAGGGATGGCAACCCGTACACAAAACACTCAGCTGCTGCAAGGTCACTTCTGAGAGAATTCTGAGCAAGCCATGTGTTGGAAATGTTTTTATTTTTTGAGGCAGAGGATTGTGTTGCCAGACCTGATAACCTGGGCTGGAGTGTTACATCAGCCAGCAAGTTGACCACGGTGTCCAGGCCTCTGGCATCAGCAGACACTGCGTACATGATGGTGTCCCTGCAACACAAAAAACAGCTTCTGCACTGAGAAGTCACTTCTGGGGTCATTCAGTGTCATCTCAGAATCAGGAAATCACAAATTAAGCTGTTTTAATCATTAAATGCTTCTGAAATTAAATAAATCTGAATTTTATCATCCTTTCAGGCCTTTTTATAGCCCAGCAGCCCAAACAGATTTCTGCTGCTTAGGAACAAAAAGTGGCTTTTCCTGCCCCACACCAGAAAAAGAGATCCAAAGTGCTGTGAGTGCTACAACACCCAGGTACCAGCAGGAGAAGGAGCCCACCTCGATGCCTGGCAGTCACAAATGCCTCCATGCTTCTCTAAGGTGAGGAGAATTTCATCTTTGCTGCCAAACTGAGCTGTGGACTAAGGAAGAAAATACCAGTGTTATAAATTGGTACAGCAATAACTGTTTTATAACCCTTCAGTGTAACCCAGAGCATCTTCTATGTTCTTTCAGTCAAATGGTTTGATCACTACATGCCAGCCCTGGAGGCGAAACCACAAAGACTTCCAAAATACAATTACAGTCACGGTAATTAATAAGCAATTAAGATTCTGTGACTCTGGCAATGCTGTCACCAATGTTTTAACAGTTCCTGTGGGTCAGGCTTTCCTTGTCTGCTCTCCCTCACTGTCCCAGCAGATTACTGGGCATTGCAGGGCAGTACTCACAGAGAAAGCCAGTTTTTCCAAGAAGTGGGAGATACCACTGAGGTATTTCGCTTCGTGTCTTGATCCCGAATTTACCAGAACTGGCGTAAAAAAGAGAATAAACCAGCGTGACTTTTACACCCCCGGTCCTCACAACCCAACCCCCGGCTCGGAGGGGAGCTGAGGTGACACCGGCTGCCCCCAGCCCCGCCGGGTACTCACTGCCCACGGTGCAGAACTGCCCGAATTTATTCTGGGAGGCGACGCGGAGCCCGTTCTCCAGCACCGTCACCCTCGTCTCGAAGCGCTCCCGGCTCTCGGCCGCCGCGAACACGGCCTTGGGCACGCCGGGCAGCGGGCACGTCAGCGACACGCTGGGGTAGGCGCTGCCGCCGCTGTAGCTCCGGCCGGCCGCCAGCCCGCACCTGAGGGGCACCGGGGACACCGTCACGGGCTGCGGGCGCGCCCCTCCGCCAAGGCCGCTACCGAGCGCTGATCCCCTCCCAGAGCGGGTCCCGAGCGCTGCCGCCCCTCCCCGCCCGTCCCCCCGCTGTCCCCCAGCGCCCTGCCCTCCCCGCGCGGTGCCGGGGCCGCGCTCACCGCCGGGCCGGGCCGCAGGCGCCTCGCCGCAGCCACGCCATGGCCGCCGCCATCTTGCCGCCACCGTGAGAGCGGGGTCAGGGGGCGGGGCTGAGCCGCGGGGGCGGGACGAGGGCGGGGTCGCGATTGGGCGCGGCGGCGGAGGCCGCGCGTTCATTGGTCCGCTCGGACGTGGAGGCCCCGCCCCGCCGCGCCCACAGGCGGCCATGGCGGCGCCGCCGCTGCCGGTGGCGGAGCCGCTGCCGGGGGACCCGGCCGAGCCCAACCCCTTCTCTTTCCGCGAGTTCGTCCGCTCCAAATCCCGCGGCGGTGACGGCCCGGGCGGTGACACACAGGTGAGGCTTTGTGCGGCAGCGCGACCGGGCTCCGTCCCGTCAAGACGCCCACCTCAGCCCCGCTGTCCCCTCCGCAGGCGGCTTGGCCCGGGCCCGTCGTGCCCCCGCTGCCCGCAGTGTCGGGGGACGAGCAGGAGGAAGAGGAGGAGGAGTGGAGCGAGAGCTACCAGCCGCTGGCTGTGGAGCAGGCCCACCTGGTGACGCTCGGAGCCGCCCCGGGGCCGGCCCGCGGTCCCTCCCGGCAGCCGAGCTACGAGCAGGTGAGCGCTGCCCGCCCTCACACCTTTCTCTGTCCCACCCGCTACACAACTCGGCGTCACAGCCTGTGCCATCAAGAGCTGCTGAGGAAGAGAATTAGGTCTATGGAAATGTGCTTTTCAGCGTGAACAGGTCCGGTACTTTCTTTGTCCCGCTGCCCTGCACATGACCCAGGTGACTTCCTCGTGTTCCTGCCGCTTGAGGTCATGTTTATTTAGAATCGGCAGCATTCACTAGTCACATTTGCACTGGTGCTTCAGTGCCACATTCCTGTGCCCCACAGTGGTTTCCAGATGGGCAAGCTGAAGGTAAAGTTAAGCTTGAATGTATTAGAAAGCACAAGGATTTCCAGTATTAAAGCTGAATATTGTTATTATTATATTGTCATATGTTATCATATAAATATTATGTTACTGTATATTGGATTGTTGGTATTGTTGTGAAAATACACTTCAACCTAATAATAATTTTTTTAATTTCTGTTTTTAGCTAAAAGAAGAGAATGCTCTTTTGAGAAGCAAGATCAATAAGCTTCAGATTCTGTCTGAAACTCAAGCAGACAAGTGCGTGAGAAGAATTCATTTTCCTTGTGACATGAAACCATGAGATTCTTGATCCTTTCCCAGAATTTCCTTCCTAAAGTATTTAATGATACAAGTGCTTACTGTGTGCCATCTCTTATTTTTTTAAGGATGAGGAAGCTTGAGAAGAAGCTTGAGGAAAACAAAATCAAAGAAGAAAAGGAAGCACAGGATTTGGAAGCAATGGTGCAGCACGTGGAGCAGAATCTCCAGCTGATGACTGTAAGTGTTGGCTTGAGGTTTAGATCAGGTATCAGGAAGAAATTCTCCCCTGTGAAGCTGGGGAGGTTGTGCAGGTCCCAAAAAGGAACAGTGAGGAAGGAAGGAGGGAGCTGTTCCTACCTCCTAAAACGTTCAGAACGTGGCGTGGTGTAACACAAACCATACCCCCTCCCAAGTTCTGTGCTGGAATCACTCCTTCCCACATAGCTCAAGCTGCCTGGTTTATCCTCAGCACCCTGTGGTTTCAATAATCCATGTTCTCTTGCAGAAACGGGCTGCCAAAGCTGAGAACAGCGCTGCCAAACTGAGACAGGAAAATGCACAGCTCCAGGTACAGAGCAGCATTGCTGGGGCTGCAGGGATACAGCTCGGAATTGAGCAAGTGGAAAGGATATTGCAAGGGTTTTGCAGGCTCTGAGGAAAATGCTGGGTGTGTTTTCAGGTTCAGTAAAGGCTGGGAGTTGTGTCCTGTCACAGGCTGAGAGGGCCTGGATCATGCCAGACTCTTCAGTGGTGCCCAGTGCCAGGATGAGGAGCAATGGGCAGAAACTGAAATGAGGAAGAACTTTCCATGGAGGGTGGCAGAGCCCTGGAGCAAATTCTCCAGGGAATGCATGGAGTCTGCCTCTCTGGAGACATCCAAACCCACCTGGAAATGTCCCTGTGTCACCTGTTCCAGATGACTCTGCCTTAGCAGAGGTTTGGACTGGATACATCCAGAGTCCCTTTCCAACCCTAATGATTCTGTGAAGACACTCCCTCCAGGCAGTCTGGTTATGATTACTGTTTATTACGTTGTTTTCTTGTATTCGCTATCCTTGTGTTAGTTAATTATTACATTCCACACCCATAAAGTGCTGTGTGAATGTATTCCTTAGCTGCAGAGTATCTGCTGGAGTTCTGGGGTTCTTTCACATGGATTTTTGCCTCTTCACCCCAGGCTGAGCTGAGGAATTCCAGGCTGGAGAATGAGGCACTGCGGGCAGGCCAGGCAGGGTTGGCTGCAGCCAAGCAGAACGCAGAGGTGGCCCTGCAGCACCTGCTCCAGGTCACAACCAGCTCCCGAGCATCCATCAGGTGAGCTGGGCTGGGACAACCCTCCTGACACCCTCCCAGGCACTGGGCTACATTCTGGGCTCACAAGTAAACGTCCTCAGTGGGTTTTTTAGGATTGAAGTACTGTGTGCCAGAGGAGCTACTCCATGTTCTTACCTGTGATGTGTTTTCCTTCAAGTGTAGGTAGTAGTTTCCAGTCCTGATAAAATGCTGCTTGATAAAACACAGAATATGGGAACACTCTCTCAAAACTGCACCCAACCTAACACTGTGCCTCTCCCATTCCAGGCAGCTGCTCTCTGGAGCAGAATCCCTGCAGCTCGTCGCTGATCTCCTGAAATCCATAGACAGAATCGCTGAGGTGTCAGAGGATGGACAGTGACTCACACAACACGGAGGACTTTGTTTTCATATGGAAACCATTACTAAAAAGTGAATTTTTGATACTTGGCCTCATTTCGACGTACCAAACTGCAGACCTGGCTTCACCATCCCTTCCCGCGGTGCAGCCACAGCCAACGGATCCCTAAACCCGGAATGGACCAGACTACACCCCCGGTCCTGCTGGGCGGGCACCGCGGCCCCTTCTCCCCAGGCACCGCGCGATTCCCCCAGGTTTCGGTTGGGACTCGCAGAGATTTTTGGCTGAGGCTCTCGTTGCCGTTCAAGTGCTCTTGCTGTGAAGGGGAAAAGCCCGGGGGTCGGCCGGCGGTCGCGGTGTCGCGGTGCCAATGAAGGCGGTGTCCCGGTACCGCGGTGTCCCGGTGCCAATGAAGGCGGTGTCGCAGTGTCCCGGTGCCACTGAAGGCCGTGTCGCGGTGTCCCGGTACCGCGGTGTCCCGGTGCCAATGAAGGCGGTGTCGCAGTGTCCCGGTGCCACTGAAGGCCGTGCCGCGGTGTCCCGGTACCGCGGTCCCATTCGGGGCCCAGCCCGGGGCGGTCTCCGCGGGCCCCGGGGCTGCCCCCTGGCCATGCACGTGCACCGAGCCCCGCCCGGATTGGCTGCGCTGTGTCACGTGCCGGGTCAGCTGATCCGCATCCGCAGCAGCGATTGGCGGAGCTGGGAGGCGTGGCCAGCGCAGCCCCGGCAGTGGCGCGGGTCGCCATGTCCCGCGGGCCGGGCCAGGCCGGGCCCCTCCGCTCCCCTCAGGGCCTCGACCTCGATGCGGAGCGGGAGAAGATCCGCCGCGAGATCGAGCAGCTGGAGCGCAGCCTGCAGCCCGGCGGGGCCGACATCCAGCTGCCTCTGTCCGACTCCAGCCTCAGCTCCGGTACGGCTTCGGGCGGGCGCGGGGCGCTCCCCAGGCAGCCGCCGGTACCGGCACTTTGCACGTTCCTATTGCACCCAAATATCACCAGCAGTGACATCGCGGGGCCTAAGCCGTCCTCGCAGACTGCTGTGTGAGCTGTGCCACCCCAGCGCTCCTGCGCCTCCTGAAGTTCATTTTCCAGAGCCAAGAGAAATCGGTGACAATTCGAGCGTCTCTGTCCGGAGAGGCTTCACCCCCCGGTGTTCGGATCGCAGGGCTCTGTGTCACTTCTGTCAGACGGCTGTACTACACCCGGGGGATGCTGAGCGGCTGCTGGTGCAAAGTTCGTTTCTCCTGGCTTGGAATATTCACTTGGCTGCACACCTGGGAGCCTCTCATATGCAGGGCCACGATTGAGCTTTGCTGTAGTTATCCAGAGCTGCTATTTTTTAGCTGCTCCAGAACATTAAAACAAACAAAAAAGCATAAGTGGAGTTTAACTCAATACATATTTTACTTGCCAGTATCCCATCCATTGATGGTCACGTCTGAAATCTGTCTGGTGCTTTTGCCTCTGTGCTTTAATTGAAAATATTTGAGTTTAAAGCTTTCCTTTTATCTCGCTACAGTCAGCATTTTTGTATTTTGTTTGTCTAGCTGATGATGATGAAGATGGTGGTGGTGATGATGAAGATGGTGATGATGAAGATTCTCATGCTGAAATGGTAACTGTTTTCTCTTTAAGTAGATATTTCCAGCTGTCTATTGAAGAGAGCAGGAGGAAGGGAAACCTCACCCTCCTCTGGGAAAATCCAGGCAATTGCCTTGGCTTTGTGCTCAGTAAAACCCGAATTTTGGGTATTCCCGCCCAGAGCTTTGTTATCCAGTGTCAGAGATTTCTGTGCCAAGTACCAGGGCCAGAGGCCTCCCTGCTCTGTGTCCCTGCAAACCCCTCGGGCTGTGGGCACACAGCAGGTTCAGCTGAGGAAATAATGAATTACAGAACTGATTGGTACAGACCTGCTTTTCAAACAACCGTTTTCCTTTGTTTTCTCCCTAAATGCCTTATTTGCCTCAAGGAAGTGGAAATAGAAGAAGACAGCAGTGGTGATCAGGATGATGAGGATGAGGACGATGATGATGATGATGATATTGAAAGCCTGCCCCAGGATCCAGAAACCTGCCTGCAGATGAACCATGTGTACCAGGAAGTTATCAAGGAAAAGATTGAGGAAGTGGAGCTGCTCATAGCACAAAACAAAAAACAGCAGGTGAGCAAAGCAGGAGTGAAATGTTTATTTCTGTGCTTTTCTGGGTTGCCATTTGCCATCCTTCCTTCCCCTCAAGCCCAGGACTCAAGTGATTTCTTTAACTGATGAATCCATGCTTCCTTACAATAAAAAAATGGGTATTTTACATGTTATATTTTAGCTTGTTGTGGCAAGTTAGTATTTTATTAATCTTTTTAATCATTTGAACTGTGCAAACTCAGGAAGTTCCAAATCCTACCTTTAAGTCCTGCACTGATTTTACAGTGTGGTGCTTCAGGTTTGAACCCTGCCTGGGGTTTTTGTGAGGGCTCAGCCACTGCTCTCTGAAATCAAGAATTTGGAGGAGACACTGATGCTGTTCAATTAATTTTTGTATTGCAGAAGGAAATTGTGTGTGACTTTGGTGGTCCAAAAACAGCCAAGGCAGGAGATGGCAGAAATCTACCAACAAATGTGTTTCTGGGTCATTTTATGAAGCCATACTTTAAGGATAAAATAACAGGAATTGTAAGTAAATAATTGCAGCCACCAGGGGCTTGAATGTTCATGAGTTTAACTTAATTGTCTTCAGTTCCAGGACCTAATTCCATGCTGCTATTTAAAGCAATCACTGAAATCTGGTTGTCTGTGAAATTGAGTTTTCATGGTTTTTGAGACTTTCTGTAATTTTTTTTTGTATTTTCTGGAGCAATTCTTAGTACTTTTATTTTGTTCTTTTTTAATGGCCGTTGGCAAAAGGAGATCTTGGCTTTTTGTGGCAGCCCAGATGTCAACTGTCATCATCCATATGTTAATATATTAATTTATTAATATATTTAATTACTGATAATATTTCTATTTAAATTATATACCTGTGAGCTCTTGCTAACAAAGGCAACTAAGCAGTGTGAATTGTGATATTTTGCACAAGTTTGAGTTTCCAGTTATGTTTGTAGTAGTTCATGCTGGAATTTTAAGATGAAACAATAATTTTGCCTGACTCTCAGTGGATCAAACCCTTCTAATCCTCATCAGGGCCCTCCTTCCAACGAAGATACCAAGGAAAAGGCAGCTCAGGGCATCAAATCCTTTGAGCAGCTGCATTCAACCAAGTGTAAGTAAGTCTGGCTGCTGTTCAGTGTTCTAGAAGAGCTGTAACATGCCTCTATTCATATAACAAATGTATATATTCAAATGTTACTCTGTGTGTGTGTGTTGCTATTTGCAGTTAAACATCAACACCTCTGGTTGGCTCATAAAAAATTCATTACAAGGGAATGGGGTGCTCTATAAATTATTTCAGTGAGTCATTAATGACTCTTTTTCCATCTGTTCTGGTGCCTGAGCTCCTGTGAGCACTCCTAAACCGAGTAAGGTGGTGCAGGGGCAGTGCCCACATGAGGGAAGTTCAAGGGACATCTGCAGCTCCAAGTGCTCACAGGGTGATTCCTTTATTGGGGTTTCTTTGGAGATCCCAATAAAACTGAGCCAGAGGCTGTGCCTTGCCCAGGTCTGACATGGTGTTGGTGATTTAGGCAGGGAACTCTCAGTGCAGAGAGTTCTTTCCCAGGGGTGCTGGGAGCAGTGGGTGTCCCCTGGCAGTGGTTTTGCACTGATGTCTGGCTGCTGCCCTGTCTGGTTTAGGGAAGACTGGGGAGAAGATGCTGCTGCAGAAATCCGTGGTGAGCGACCGCCTGCAGCGCCTGCTCCAGCCAAAACTGCTCAAGTGAGTTCTGCCCAAAAATCCTCTGTTCTCCTGCTGAGAACATTGCATGGGAAAGGGGGAGAAGGGAGATGTAGAGATTTCACCTTCCTCCAGCAAGTTCCTGTGTTGATTGCTTGTGTTTGTGGGATTTTACAGCATCTATTTCTTCCCATGAGCACTGTGGTGTAACTTAAAATACTTTGTAGGGCTTGAAGCTGAAATTGTGATGTGGTGAGGCCTAATGGTCTGTCCAGCGAGGGATTTCTGTGCTGGAGCTGGCACAGTCTTTGTGGCTGTTACAACAACGATTGATTCTCTGTGTAAACACCAAAATGGTTTATCTGAAACTTTTTGTGGGTCAGGGATCGCATTGAAGGGACAAAAATATGGCAATGAATGTGCCTTGTGGGAAAACTTGGGAGAACAGTTTTGTGTGGAAATAAACTTGGAGGAAGGAATGGTGCTGATGGGGAAGGTGTCTCTGCTGTACATTCTCTGATGCCATTGGCCTCATTCACATTTATCCTATTAAGTAGTGATAAAAATGTCTTTGAACAGGTTGAGTTATTGGAATCAGAAACTGGAGAAAGTCAAGACTGACACAGAAAAACAGATCTTGGAAAAGCAAATCAAAGACTTGGAGCAAGAAATAGAATCAATTAAGTAAGAAATCTTTCTATGTCCTTGGTGAAAAATGAGTTTAGCTCTAAAAGTTCCCTCCTTCTACTTCTAGATGGGTCATTGGTGTTGGGTTAAAAAATTAGGTGCTGTTGTGGCTCTGTCATCTCCACAGTTCTTTACTAAGAAATATGTTTGGGTCTGTATACACAAAGTGTAATGCCTGCAACCAGTATAGAGGTGTTGCTTTAAGTGGTCCTTATTTTAGCAACAGAGGAGCAGAGCTCTGATTTTATTTTTCATATTTTTGAGCTTTTGCTCATGAACAAATCTGGAACAATGTATTTGGATATGGCATTAATTAACTGTTTCTCCTGCCAGTCCTAGTGTTCAGTTCTTGTGGAAGTCAGGAACAGGTGGGAGGAGTGAGATGAGGCAGGATCAAGAAGACAAAATGTTTCATTAACCATTTAATATGATTCTTTCTTCCTCTTTGTACCTTCTGCTTTAGCCAACTGCCGGAAAGTGACTTAATAGGAAACAGATTTGATGAGCATGACTGGGACAAAATTTCAAACATCCATGTGAGTTGGGGGATCAGCTGTTTTATTGCTTCTTATATCCGTGTCCTTCCTCTTGACAGTCACCTGACCTGGTTTGCATCCAGTGTTTCCATCTTGCATTTCTCCAAGTTGACTGTTAAGTGATCTCAACATGTTAAATTTGGTGATTTAGTTCTGGAAAACTTGGCAGTAAGACATATCTGAAATGCAGAATACTAATTTTCCTGTTTGTCCAGGTGTCTTAATCCCAGCTTTGAGACTAAACTGATTTTTACTGTTTCTTTTAGTTTGATGGACAGCGTAACTCAGAAGAACTGAGGAAGTTTTGGCAAAACTGGGAACATCCAAGCATCAACAAGAAGGAATGGACTGAGGAGGAAATAGAGAACCTGAAGCAGATAGCTGCTAAACACAATTACCTGGACTGGCAGACCATTGCCCAGGAGCTGGGGGTAAGGTCTGAGCTGGCAAGTTGGTTCATTCTGGCTTTGCTTTGCCTCTTGTCAGCTTTAAAAAACAAAGTCAATACTAATTCACTGTTAATTAATCCTTTCTGAGGAGTGTCCAAGAACAGTACCAAAAAGGTTTGGTACTTGAGCTTTTCCCTCTTGCTTTGTGTCCTCATAAATAACCAGTTACCTGCTTCTCTCTGTTTTCCTTGTATTAAGACAAACAGGACACCTTTCCAGTGCTTGCAGAAATACCAAATCTATAACAAAGATTTAAAAAGGAAAGAATGGACCAAGGAAGAGGATCAGATGCTTTTAGAGCTCGTTCAAGAGATGAGAGTGGGAAGCCATATCCCATACAAGAAAAGTAAGTGACCCACAAGTGACAAACCTTTCATTCACCTGGAATGCTTCACTCTCCCATTCTCTTTTCCTTGGTGGAAGCTGTGATCTCTGCCTTTCCTGTACCTATCTGGAAGTTTCACTATATCAGCAAGAACTTAATATCTCTTGGAACCTTTATCCATACTGGAAATTTGGCTGAAACTGGCTGAGCACCACTTGCTAAGAGATTAGAGTGCTGCTGATGGCAATCACTGCTTGCAACTGTTGTCCAGGTAAAGGAAGAAGCATTAATTACAACGGAGTTAAATAAACCTTTTAATTTTACAGTTGCTTATTACATGGAAGGAAGAGATTCTGCTCAGCTGATTTACCGCTGGACAAAGAGTGTTGACCCCAGCTTGAAGAAAGGAGCCTGGACACCAGAGGAAGATGCTGTAAGCTCCATTCTCTGGACCTGGAATTGCAGGGTGGGAATGTTGAACTGCTGAGGTGTGGCATGACTGTAGATCTGAGCTTTAGCAGTGGCACAGAGGAGTGTCAAACAAACCAACGTGGGCACTTTATAGTTCAAGACAGTTTAGAAACTCCTAAACACTTTTGTCCAGAGATTTGCACAGGAAACAAAATAGAACTGCTGCTGCCTCAGGCCTCTTAGGGTTGATACTGTGAGGTTTTCAGCTCTTGTTCTGTGTGGTGCATGCAGATGCTGATGGCTGCAGTTAAGAAGTACGGGGAGAAGGACTGGTACAAAATCCGGAGGGAAGTGCCGGGCAGGAGCGACGCCCAGTGCCGGGACCGGTGAGTTCCAGCCCCTTAAATAAGGGTTAGGAATGCTGGCTTGGTTCAGCCTTGGAGTGCAGTGATGATCTGATTTTTTTACAAGCAGGATTGAATGTTCCTGACTGTAATGTTTTCATTTTGAAGGTATTTAAAAGTATTGCACTGGAATGTAAAGAAAGGCAGGTGGAGCTTGGAGGAAGAGGAGCAGCTGATTGAACTGGTTGAGAAGCATGGCCTGGGTAGGTGTTTCTGTGACTTAATCTATAGAGGTTTAGAGGTGTCATTGAGGTTTTCTTTTTTATTGCTCTGCTTTGTACTGATGATTACACCTTCTTTGTATTGTGTGTTGTGTGTATTAAGGATTTGAGATCCATTCATGCAGTAACTCTGTCTTTTTATCCAGAGAAACTTGTAACATGTGTGTAATGGCTGCATTGAAAGGCCTGTTGCTCAGGCCTTTCAATGAATAAAATTGTTCTTTCAACAAATACAAATGTTCTGCATCCTCTGCATCCTTTTCAGGTCACTGGAGTAAAATAGCTTCAGACCTGATACATCGGACTGGCTCCCAGTGCCTGAGCAAGTGGAAACTCATGGTTGGCTCTAAGGTACTGTGGAAATCCTGCTGTGTCACAGATCCATCTCTTCAATTAATTTTCTCTAAGCTAGAAGTGGAATCATGTGAAATCAATTTTAAAAATTGCATTGATTTCACACAATCAAGATTTTTGTTGTGGATTTCACAGTTTAAATTTTTGGTGGGTAAAGCAGCCTTTGTTCTGAAGAGCTGCCGTTAATTTGCTATATATTTATGTTATTTATATATTATCCAGAATTTTTTGCTGCTTTGAAATGCCTGTAAGGATGGGATATATATGTTGGTTTTCTTGTCTGTACCTCTTAAGTTGCCAGTTTTGGTCCCAGGCACTCAAAAAATTCTGGCTATTTAAGACCATATTGAAGATGATCTTGTTTCCAAAATCATGTTTCCTTTAGAGAAGGAAAATTCCTGATTTGAGAAAGTTGCAAGCCGGGGGTGAACACTGACTAAAACTTGTGTGTGCTTGTTTTGACCAAGAAGAAAAGATCTGGGGCGAGCAAACGGTGCCACGCTGAGGAGAGCTCCAGCCCTTCAGAGAGCAGCAGTGAGGAGGACATGGAGCTGGAGCTGGCAGACAGCTCAGAGGAGGAGGAGGGGGGCAGCACCACGGGCAATGAGGAGTGTGCAGTCCCCAGCATTGACCTGTGGATACCGACAAGGACAGACACACAGGAGGCAACCAGGGAGAGATACCAAATCCAATCCCTCCTCTCTGCTGCCAGGGCTGCTGCAGGGAGCAGCTGCAGTGACATTCCAGGGGCAGGAGGTGACAGAGATGAAGCTGCTGATAAATCATCTGAGCTGAACACCCTGCTGAGGGGCATTGCACAGCCCCATTCCACAGATGTGCTGGTGAAGAATCCAGCAGAAGTGATTGCCAAGGTGAGCTGGGATGGGAGCTTGGATCAGAAGTTAGAAGGGAAGTGCAGCTGCTGCAGTAAGGGCAGGATGTGATGAGCAGATAACATCTTGCTGTTCATTCCCTTGTACTGTTTAGTGAAAAAATGTGAAGACCCAGTAAATTCTATAATTTGGATTTTGATAGATTCCTCACACAAAGGCTTTTATGAAATAGGCATTTGATGTTGTGATGATGCACAAGGATTAAAAGTAAAGGTCTTCACTCCAGAGTTGATTTCAACAGCAGGAATGTTGAAAACTTGTATCTGCTGTGCATATCCAGTGGAAATAATTTTCTTGGAGTGACTTTCCCTTCTGTCTTCTCCTTTGTGCTTTCACATTCAGGCTTCCCAGTGTGGAAAACAAGTGCTGCGGGTCAGCCTGGAGGAGGTGAGAAAAATACTAAGGAGAAACACAAACTTCCAGAGGAAACTGGTGAGTGCCTCTTGTGTCTTTTCTGCTCTTGTGACATGAGCACTGCCAGGCTGTGCTTAGTAGGAATTTATTTTTATACAGTCATAGATCTTGCACTGTAATTCCAAGAGGAAATACTCACAGTTTTTTGTCCTAACTGCCCTGTGAATGTTTTGTCATGGAAGTAATGTCACAACCTTCCTAACGGGAACTCTTAATTGTGTATTTTTTTTTTTTTCATGCACGGCAATTAAAGATGCTAAAACCTCCTGCCAGCCTTTTAGCCAAGCCCCCTGGCGTGGGTGCAGCTGATGGCCAGGATGTGCAGGAGCTGCCAGAGCGAGCTCGGCGCCGGGACAGGGAGTGCTGGAGGAGGCTGAGCCTCAACAGGAAGCTGCTGATGGCAGTGACCCCTTGGGTGGGCAATGTGCTGCTGCCCTGCACTGTGCAGGCTGGGAGCATGGCTTTCTACCAGACAAAAGGTACTGGGGGCCCATCCTACCTTTGTCCCTACTTTGTGATGTCTTCTGAGTGAATTCCCAGCTGATTTTGATGTTGGGTTTCTTGCCAGCTGCTGCTATTCACGAGAAGGTGAAGTCAGTGAGCGTCCCCAGCACTCCCCTGTTTGCACTGCTGGTTCATGTAAGTTTTCCTGTCTTAAGAGCATTACTTGCTTTTAAACAGTGGGAGTCTTTATTTCTCAGTATTTGAGGCTTAAATAAATGGTTTATTTTTGTTCCTTAAACAAATAATCTAATTACTGGACTAATCTACCCTCATGATTTGCATATGAAGTTTCTTAAATAAGTCCTGCATCCAAAATCTGATCCTGCCAGGGCTTTTTCTGTAAGTGTAAAATATCCCCACAATCTTGCATGTGAAGCATGTTCCCTCTATTTTGTGTTGTCACTGACTCCACCAAAACATTTTTGTTCTCATTTAAATGTTAATGAAGCTCTCACCTTGCAGCTCTTTCAGATTGATACCAAAGGCTGCATGAAGATTATTAAGGAGAGGAAGCTGAGGCATTTGGAGCTGCTTAAGGCTAATGCAAGGAGCCCTCAGCAGGTATTGTGTTTGTAAGCTTTTGCCACTGAAGTCTTGACTAAAATAAGCCCTTTAATTGTATGGCCACACAGTTTACATGTATGTTAGCAGTTTGTTTTGGTTCAGAGGCAGAATAAAATGCTGGCTGTATGGCCATTTGTTCAGGAGGTGGCAGATGTGGGTTTGATTCACATCTGTGCTATTTTAATAATCTTTAAATTTATCAGAAGTATAATTTAATATATTTTTTTACAGGCTTCCCAAAATACGGAGACTTCTTCAGGTACCTACCAGAACATTTATTTTTATGATGTGCAAGAACTTTCACATAATTCATCACTGTTACATTAATAACCAGTTTAACTGAAGGAGAAACCTGCATTGTCATGCTCATTTTTGCTAGCTCTTGGATCTTTAAGCATGTTCCTCTTTGGTAAGGACTGGAAAAATCCCTGGAGGGCTGGGGAACCAGTGGCACTGGACCAGTTCAGTGGGGTGTTAGGGTGCATTCCTGCCCCATCTCTGATTTCTGGGGGCAGTTACCCCTTGTTCAGTTTTTGGAACCTGGCTTGATTAAATCAGGACTGTGGTGGTGTAGGAATTCTCACAAAAGGAATTTTGCCACATTCCTTGTTGTTTCATGAGAAATGGCTTTTGGAAATACTGTTCATTCATTGTATTTTATGTCCTCTCTCTGCAGGCAACTCATCCCAAGCTTGTTCTCAGAGGAATTCCCAACAGGACATCCCAAGGAATGCTGTCAGGAGATCTCCTGCCTTGAGAGCACGGGACTCTGCCACTGGTGCCTTGGAGAGCTGTGCCAGAGCAGTGCAGGGAGCTCCCTCAGCCCAGTGGCAAAGGCAGAAGCCTAAAACTGTCTCAGAATTGCTGAGAGAGAAGCGTTTAAGGGAGTCCCAGGCCAAGAAGGCCATGCAGAGGACAGTGCTGGTTGCCTCACAGGTGCTGGTTTCAGGACCTTTGATAATCCAGCACCCACCACAGCAAATCATTCCCTCTGTACAAGCAGGGAGCAAACCTGCAGCAGCTTCTGGGACAGATAGCCAGGCACAGAGTTCACCAGTGCCCACAAGGACTTCTGCTGCAGGTTCTGCTTCTGCTCTTGTGCCCAAAAACCATTCCTCAGCAGTGCCAGAAACTGGGGACAGCCCTGGTTGCTCAAAAGGGACAGATCTACAGTCAAGTAAGAAACTAAAAGAGGAAGGTCTGGAGAGCAGCCCTGAAGGAGGGGTTTCTCTAGGTGTGAATCCAGCTGCAGCAGACCAGGGAGGGTGCAATAGTCAGGTCCCAGCCAGTAGCTCAGGTTCAGCAGTGGTGCAAAACCAGGCTTTAGTGCCTCAGCAGATCACAGTGGTGCCTCTTGGCCTGGACTCTGGCACCAGCAAATTGTCCCTTTCCACACCACTCACCTGTGAGCTGAAGAGTAACAGGCCACAGCAGACACCAGTGAGCCTGCTGCCTGCTCTTGTCACTCCACAAGCTGCTTCTCCTGTCATTCCCAACAGCATCCTGCCCTTCAGGTGGGTTGTGATCTCCCAGGCTCTGCTCCCCAGTGCTGTGCAGACTGTGGTGAGTGTTCCTCAGGGAATGCCAGCTGCTGCTGGGGAAAGTCAGTGTCAGACAAATGTGACTTCCAATGGCAGTGTCTCTGCTTTGGGAGGGACTCCTGTACCAGCTGGAGCAAATCCACCTCACCCCAGCAGTGCAGAGACAAAAGGGCCAAGTTCCCAGCTGGCAGCAGCTCCTTCGGGAAAGGCAGCTGACCAGTCCACAATTCACTTACCTCCCACCCCAGTGCGTCCTGGGAGCACCACGTCCAGCGTTTCTGCTGTAACCCCTGCGTGTTCAGATGGCTCCTCCACGGCTCCAGAGTCTTCTGCAGCTCCAGCTGCCAGCCCAGCCCCGTGTGCCATCGTGCTGCCCCAAACACAGCCCCCTGCCAGCACTCAGGGCTCTGATTCCCAGCCTGTGCCCAGTGCCACCAGCTTGGGAAGGAGCAGTGACTCCATCACAACAAACAAATCCTCCTTCAATCCAGACAGCATCAGGACAGACACTGTGCTCTCGTCAGCAGCTGCAGCTCCTCACAGCAATGTCCCAGGGAGCTCTGCTTGCTCTGATGCCCAGGAGCTGAGGAGCAGACCCATTGCCTCCAAACCACCGAGTGCTGATGTTCCCCCCCAGCCAAGCACTTCCAGTGCAGAGAAGAGTCCCCTTGACTTCAGCCTGATTTCCCTGGAGGACGAGGGGCTGGTGAAGGAATATCTGAGTGGGAAACAAGGGGTTCAGGTGCCATCACTGCAGACCAGGCTGCCTTATCTGCCACCTTTCCTCTGCAACATAAAAACCCTCTCAAAGCTCCTTGTGCAGAAAGCAGCTCTGGAAGAGCAAGCAGCCTCTCTCCTGCCCTCTGAAGCCAGCGGGGACAGGGGCACTGGGGATGTTTTCCATGCTGTTGGAGAACTGGTGCAGCAGAAACTGGGTGATAACCCTGCTTACCTCCTGCTGAAAGCCAGATTCCTGGCAGCCTTCACACTCCCAGCTGTCTTGGCAACTCTGCCTCCTCCCAAAGTGACAACAACTCTGTCAGCCAGCAGGAAGCAACATGAGGACAGTGATGACGAGGAGTGGCAGAGTAAGAAAAAAGTGTCTGAGAAAGAGAGTTGTGGGAATGAATTAACAGGAGCACAGGAGCACTGGAGACATGAGGATGAGCCTGGAGACGAAGATGCTGATTTACTAAACCAGGTAAAACAGATTCCAGGGGCTAAAAGCAGAAAATTACTGCCACATAAATATTGCACTGGAATCCAGGGGGAAGCCCCCACTGTTAAGTGTAGCAGAAATTTGGTCCTTTCGAATAAACACAGTTCTACAGCTGATGAAAGGAAAAGCTCTGCAGCTCAGCTGGGAGGGTGAAAGCCCATGGTTTATGTAGCACCTTAAATGTGCCCTGACAGTTGCCAGAAGTGGCTATCAAACTCCCTTCCCCTTTCTGTTTATAATCTGAAATTTTTGAAATCAAGCCTTTGTTTTCACTCTGTAAACTGATGGTTTGTGCTTTCTCTGATATTGGTAGTGGAACGTTGTCCCATGCTTCACTTTGAAGGTAAATGAAAGATTGTTTTAGAAGTCTTGCTGAGCTTCCTAAATCAACAAGGTGGCTGAAGGGGTTACTTGGAATTCTTGTGGTGTTGATCATCTCCTGCTTCTGTTGCAGGGCATTCGGGCTGAGGGGAGCCCTGCTCAGTCTGCCTTGGGCTCCTGCTCTGATGTGGCTGATGCCAGAGCTCCCCAAATCAGGAGAAGTGCCCGCTTCAAGAAGAGGAGGAGGATATGAGAAGGAAATGTGTTAGTAGCTCCTCGGTGGTTTGTACCTCTTGCTGAGAAGCTGAACCACGTTTGTCTGTGGTTCAGCTCAGACAATGAATCATGACCCCCCGGAAAGGACTGAAATGTTCTCTGCCCTCGTTCCCTGAGGACACAGAGTTCTGCAGTCACCATCAGTTACAGCCTAAGGCTGATAATATTTTGGGGAGAGGGAATGTTGATGTCTCTGTGATAAAATTATATATAAACTCATGAAATTCCAACATTTGGCAGCCTCTTAGTTCATGCCCTGAACCCTTCTTAGTATGCACCTAGTTGGTAGCCCTGTACAGGCTTGACAGTGGAGTTCTTCTTTAATACTTCATCTTTGAGCAGCTTGGTGGGGTTGGGGTTAATTTCCCCTATTTGGCTTCATTTCTGTACAATTATAACAGGACATCTTCTTCAGGGTACAAATGGGTGATGTTGTAATATCTGCTGATGCTTTTGGTGCACTGGATGGAATGAACATGAACAGTGTTTGATTCACATGGTTGTCAGATGAGACTGGGGATTTTTATTTTTTTTCTTGAAAATCCATTTTAGAAACTCCAAAAGGGCAACTTCCCTGTAGAAATGCTGTGACTGATAGGAGGTGTCTGTGCTTTGTTACAGAGGTCACTGGAATGAGCTCTGCCTTCCTGCATGGCAGGAGGAGATAATCTTTGCACTGTTCACTTTTACCACTTCAATGCTGACTGGATGGACCTGAGGAAGAGGAAGATGCTGGATTGATTTTTCCCATCCCTCAACAAAATCTACATCTGTAGGCAAGGTGTAAAAATGAAGGAAACTGGCTGGAGGAAAATCTCTCAGGCACTGACTTCTGTTCTTTCAAATTCCCACCTGCCATAGATGCTGAGGGGGAATATTGCTGGAAATCTGAGGAAACAAGCAATGGTGGTTATTTATTTCCTTCTTGTTAGCCCCTATTTATGTGAATGTTTATCCATGTTCAGAATATGTTAATTAGGTGTTTTTTAGTGCTGTGACAGTGGCTTTGCTTGGTTTTTGCTTGGCTTTGCTTTCCACAGACTGAATACTGTGGAATAAGCAGCAGATTAATTTTGTATCCAAAAGACTCTTAAGTATTTGTTGAAATACAGATGTTTTATTTTTCTCACTTAAAAATTACTGATGTGTTCTGTGTGTTTTTTTTTTCCTGGTAAATAGTGCTTTTAATAATGTGTGTATGAGAGTGATTGCTAATGAGAAAAATGAAGTTTTCAGGCTGCATCAAAACCAGGGAAAATGGGGGGAATGAATATTCATGTGCCTAAAACTGCATGATTGAATTAGGAATCTTTCTTGATTCTTCCACAGCCTGCCCTATACAGACATCACAAATCACTTAAAAAAAAACTTGTTTCTTCATTTATAACCCAGCAATTTCTGTCTCACAGAGAGGTGCAAGGTTAGCTGAGGCAAAGATGATAAAATCTAGAGGGAAAGTGCTGTGAAAACTTCATTCCACTGCACTGACTGAACTTCCCTGAGTGTAGTGGGGAGTTGGGAGTTTGAGCTTTCCCACCAGGGCTCTTTGGGCAGAGCTGGGGGCAGAGGGTGCCAGTGTTGCTATAATTTGGTGTCAAGACTTTATGGAGCAAAAGAATGATTGTGGAAGTGTACTCTTCTTCCATAAGCCACTACAGACATCACGTTTCCAGGAAATTCAGCTGTGGCAGGAGCTGCTCACAGTTGTGCCCAGGCTGCTACAGTGAGGCAGTGATGGGAAAGGTGAGCTGTGCTCTGAATGATTGTTGCCCTTTGCAAATGCTGCTCAGAAGATGCCCTTGTCATTTATTTGTGGGAAAACTGCATAAGCAGCAGCTGGCTTTGCCCTTTTTCACGATTAAATTGATTTGTCACTAGAATAAAGCCTCCCCAATCTAAACTGGTCAATTAACAGGCACACTGATTACCTTCAGCAAGGGCACAGCTGACACAGGTACTGCATCTTTTTTTAGTGTAAAGCTGATTTAATGACAAGAAACACAGGCTGAAAGAATCTCTGAACATCTCTGCCCTACTCCTAATGATAACATGGAAAAACTCTCAATAAACTTAGAAAGCAGAACAAAGAGTGGAGTGGGAAGCTAATGGGAACATGTGTCATGCTGCCATGGCATCAGAGGCTGTTTAAAAAACTACTCCAAGTGAGTTCTGAGTTCAGCTCCAGGGCTGTGGGAAGGGGGGAGGCAGGCTCAGATCTTCTGGTGCTGCTCAGCATTATCACAATGCTTGCTGAGCTGTTCCTTTATTGCTGCCATGGCCACAGCCTGTCATTTGGGAATCAGGGGTGATATTCCTTGCTTTGCCAAGGCTTGATTCCCTTTCCCTTTCTTGTCATAATTATGCTGGAAGCTTGAGGACATCCAAAATTAGAGGCATCAATACAGAAATCATTCTTTTCAGCTGAACTCTAAACCAAGAGTGAGTTCTTTCTGCCTCCTGTTTCCCTGGTGAGAGATGTTAACAGGTGGAAAGCCTTTGAAGAGCCTCTTCTAATTTTGTGGCTGCACACACCTATGGCTGTGACTTTGATTCTTACCACTGCACAAGCAAACTTTCTGGACCCCAGCAGATACTTCAGTGGGGCAGATTAGAAAACAAAACCAGAATTAGTCTAAAATCACTGCCTATGTGTTGCTGCTGACTCACGATGCCATTACCATCTTTCTCCTTCTCCGTCACCCATTCTGGCTTCTGCTTTTTTTATTTATCTCTCTTTTTCTTTTCCTTCCCTTTCCCATCTTAGGGTATAGCTGAGTAGTTTCCCCTTTTTTCTCAAACGAGTTTTGTTCCTGAAATTATCTTTTCTCTAGTCAGAATACAGAGGGAGGCTGCACCCAAGACAGGTTTTCTCAGAGCCAGGACACAGGAGGAGAATCAAGGAAGTTTTTGCGACTGCAGAGGTGAAGTGATACAGAATGGCTGATATTAACAGGGAATAAAAGTTTCTTTTACAGGTCTGAGGTAAGATGACAGCTCTTGTTACGTTAGATTGGGTGTCTGTGTGGTCAGACAGAACACAGGGGTCTCACTTGCTGGGAGGTGGAGAAGGAGGAGTGACCTGCTCGTAAAGCAGAGGCAACAGCAGATTAAAACACTTCTGCATTCTCAGTCTGTGACGTCCCTGGTTTCACCACCACTGCCACACTGCTCCAAGAGGCTCAGGGGCTGCTTGATTTTTTTTTTTTTTCTTTTGGTTGTTTTATTCCAGAACAGAACAACGCTGCTCACTGATTCCCCTCACTGCTGACATGCTGGAAGAGGATAATGATGAGATCTGTTGGAATAACCTGGAGAATTTCCGTGTGAAGCTGATCTCAGTGATTGACCCTTCCCGGATCACCCCTTACCTGCGCCAGTGCAAAGTGCTCAGCCCCGATGATGAGGAGCAGGTCCTCAATGACCCCAGCCTGGTCATGCGCAAGCAGAAGGCAGGTGGGAGCACTTCAAATGCTTCTGTGGAGTTTCCAGACCGTTGGTTTGGGATTGTCTGGGCAGTTAGACACTGGAAGGACTGCCCAGGGAGGTGCTGGTGTCACCCTCCCTGGAGGTGTTTAAACAAAGCCTGGATGTGGCACTTGGTGCCATGGTGTGATTCAGTCATAGGATGGACTTAATAATCCCAAAGGTCTTTTCCAACCTAATTTATTCTGTGATTGGATCCCAGGGACTTTTGTATGTGGTGGAAGTGAAGCTAGTTCTTATGCTACAAGCAGGTAAAGAAAGAAATAACTGAACAGAATATCCTGTTGCCATGATTTCAGGTGCTCTCCTGGACATTCTTCAGCGAACGGGACACAAGGGCTTTGAGGCATTTATGGAGAGTCTTGAGCTTTATTATCCCCAGCTGTATAAGAAAATAACTGGCAAAGAACCCAGCAGGGTTTTCTCTATGATTATAGGTAATGTTTGTGTTCTCAGTAACAGCTCTTCCTTTGGTGCTGCTAAGCAGAGTCAGGAGCATTCCCTGCCTTGCTCCATGTGTGCTTTGGAAGGGTTCTGGGAAGAACAGCCCTGGTGTCACTGGCTGGACTGGGGAGGGGGGAGGAGAAAGCAGAAGGATGAATTCTTCTGCCTGTTGTGTCAGTGACTCTGGTGCAGGAAGGCACAGAGCAGAGAGGCACAGTGGGAATAATTTAATCACATATTGTCAGGGTTGGCTGCAGTGACATGGAGGGGAAGCTGAGCCCTGCGTGTGCCTGGCAACAGCCAGGACAGCAGAGAGTGACCCCTGCCCCCCAAACAGACACAGCTGGTGAGTCTGGCCTGAGCCAGGTGCTGATGAACGAGATCATGAAGCTGCAGAGCACGGTGCAGGAGGAGCGGCGCAAGGCGCAGGAGCTGATGGTGTGGCTGCCCTGCTCAGAGGGCACCCTGAGGGGGCCCAGAGGATGAAGGAGGAGAGGGACAGCCTGAGCAAAGAGCTGCGCAAGTGCAAGGACGAGAATTACAACCTGGCCCTGAGCTACGCCAAGCAGAGCGAGGAGAAGAGCATGGCCCTCATGAAGAACAGGGACCTGCTGCTGGAGGTCAGTCACAGCTTCTCCAGCTTCCCTTTCTTACCTGAGCCTGGGAGGCTGGGCTGAGCACCTTGTCTTTGCCAAGGATGCTCCAGTCCAGCCTGAAGCACTGAGCATCTTCTCCAGCACGTGTGTTTGTGGTCCCTAGCTCAGCCCTGTATTTTACAAGGTGTGCTGTGAATGATGAGCAGTCTTCCTCTCACTCACTTTGCTCTCACAAAGGCAGCACAGGGAATATGTACCTGCTAGCACACAGGCAGGACTCTTGTCCTCAGAGCACAAAACTTCCTGAGGAAAACAGAGCTGGGAGAAACCTGCCCTGTATTTGGCTGGGGAACAGAGAACTGGTTTTGCAGGCCAGAGCTTTCTCCTTGCTCCTGCTGAGCTCTGAACCTTCCTGTAGATCGATCAGCTGAAGCACAGCCTCATGAAGGCTGAGGATGACTGCAAGCTGGAGAGGAAGCACACGATGAAGCTGAAACACGCCATAGAGCAGCGCCCCAGCCACGAGGTGGTGTGGGAGATCCAGCAGGAGAAGGAGCTGCTCTTGGCCAAGAACCAGGAGCTGGAAAACACTCTCCAGGTTGGTGGGGTGGTTGAGCATGGGATCATTTGTAGCAGCCAGGGCAGCAATGCTGCAGTGAAGATTGTGGGGCGCCAGCTGTTGGCCAAGAGCCCTGAGGGGAGAGACCTGATACAGAGTTAGATGGTGGCCCTGTCTCACTTCTTCCTTTATCCTGCAGGTTGCCAGGGAGCAGAACTTGGAGAAGAGCCTCTCCAAGGAAACTCTGGAGAATGACTGCAGCCAGACTGTGGAAGAACGCCGGGAGCTGCTGAACACCATTTACAGCCTGCGCAAGGAGCTGCGCCGAGCCAAGGTGCTCCAAGACAAAGTAGGTGCTGCTGTTCGAGCTCCTGCTGAGGGCCACGGATAAGACAGGCAGGTGAAGCACCTCCGGTGTCTTGCCCATGGAGCAGAGCAGCTGCTCAGAAGCAATCCCTGCTGCTCCTGCTGCAGTACCTGTATTTCAGTGCTCTGTGTGTGGCAGGTGACAGCTCAGACATCCCACAGAGCAATCTGTGGCACAGAGCAGGAGTGGGGACAGTCTGGCTCAGGCTCTGCCCACAGGTAGGTGCTTTTGACCTTGTCTCAGCAGTTTGCAGAGGAAAAAGAGGTGCTGGAGCTACAGTGCACATCTCTGAGGAAGGACTCCCAGATGTACAAAAAACGGATTGAAACTGTTCTGCAGCAGATGGAGGAAGTGGCTTTGGAGAGAGACCAGGTGATAAAATATTCCTCCTTGCTCATCACTGCTTTTTGGGCAGGCTGTGCCAGCCTGTCTGAGCTGTTGTGTGAATGCCACGTGTGCTGTCCCTCTGCACAGGCTCTCCTGACCCAAGAGCAGTTCCACATGCAGTATTCCAAGAACCTGGTGGAGAGAGACGCCTACCGCAAGCAGATCCGGGAGCTGGGGGAGAGATGTGATGAGATGCAGCTGCAGCTCTTCCAGAAGGAGAGTCAGCTCCTGGCCACGGAGGCCAAGCTGAAAAGGCTGCAGCTGGAGCTGCCCACCCCGGTACAACTCTCCTCCTCTTGGTGGGATCGGGAAGCTGAGGATGGGGTCAGGCTGTGGCTGTTCCCAGGCCTTTGCACCTGAGCGTTTCCAGCTCATCAGGCAGTGAACACGTGCCTGAGCCACTATCAAAATTCATTAAAACCACTGCCATGCAAATGCTGAGTTTAGAAAATGAAAGGTGTGATGGTTTCTGTGATCTCACCCTGGTTTCAGGAATGGAAAAGCTGGACAGATGCAAGCTCAGGCCACTTGTGTTTATGTTTGGAGCATTTCCAGAGGTGATGAGGGGTTCCTCAACTACCAAAGAGTGACTCTATTTAGAGACTGGGTGTGATCAATTTGGATGAAATGGGGAGCTAAGTTTTCCGGAACTAAATTAGATCTATTTTAATCAATATGGCATCTTGTGTACTTTCTTGAGTAGCCAGACAGGAGTGTAGGAGGCAGCAAGTCCACACTTCTGTGTTTTCTGGAGCTCTCAGTCTCCTGTATGTTCCCTAGCTGTCACTTCCTTGCTTATGAGGAATGATTAATGTATAGTGGTTTTGTTTCAGACCTCTGACCTGGATGACACCTCCTCCAGAGATTCCCAGGAAGTAAGTAGGGTGCCTTGTTTACCTTTTCACTTTCCTCTGGGATGGTTTTGTGTTCCTTACCTGTGCTCAGTTCCCTCAGTTTTCAGCGGCTTAGGCTTATTTCAGTGATATCAGAAAGTCCAGAGGCAACAAGACAGTGCAAGACATCTCCCTGTGTCCTGAAGTTTTAAGTGTAGGACACAATTATGACATCAGTCAGCAAGATTTGTTGAGTCGAAGCATATCAAGGGAATTGAATTATTTTGAATTGGTTTTAATTCTCTGTCTTGTATGAGAACAGGCAAAAATAAGTCTTACCCTGGGGTCATCTGTAGTAAAGTTTCACTTAGTTCCTAACTTCAGTAAAGGAGTGATTGTCACGATATCTGGAGGCCAAAAGTATAAACGAGGCCAAAGGAAGCTGGATCTATTAATGGAGGATAAATCCATGAGCAAATCTGTAACTCCTGGCTCAGTCTGCTGTTTGCTGGCAGCAACGGGGAGAGAGGCTGGTTCTAGCATGTCCTGGGTTTTAAATTCCTTTATCTGTTCCTACAGATTGAGGGACATTCTGATGTTCTTGCTGTGTTTTCTGCCCCACAGCTTGTTCTTCATAGTCACCTGGATGAAGATACACAGACAGCTAAAAGTAAGGGGAAAACACTGAGTAGAGTTCTGGAGAGGATGGTCCATTCTGTTTTGCTCTTCTGGAAGATCTAAATGATCTTTTCATTCATTGAAATGAGAGATTTTTCACTAAAACGAAACAGCACTGATCTAAAAATTATTCTACCTTGCTCAGTTCAAAAGTATATATTGTAACAGCTGGTCACTACAGGAGGAGTTTCACCAAAATAGGGTCTGAAGTGCCATGATATTTACAACTTGGGGAGCAGGGACAAATGATGGATAAAATAATGATTAACACATTTCTCATAGTGGCCTGTGACATGAATATTATTTTAATGCAATGTGCAGAGGAGCTGCTTGGCAAAGGTTTGTTTTGCTCCTGCTTAAGCTGGAAGTGGAAAGCTCTGTCTCTTTCTAAGTGTGGTGAGGAACTCCACCATCCTAGGCAAGATTCAGGGCTCAATTAAAATGAGAAGTGACTTGTGATTGATCACAGGATGGAGTTCTGAGTGCTTTGGGCTTGGTTTCAGTTCTGCTGTGGACTCTGTGCAGTTGCACCACAGCTCTTCTGTTGGAAGAGAAGTTACTTTGCAATGGCAACTCTGACTAAAGCTGTGATTTATTTTTTTTGGTTTTGTTAATTTTTCAGAAGATTGCCTGGAAGTACAAAACCAGGAACTCAGCCATCGAGAGAGCCATCTGCCCCCAAAATCACCAAGTGTAAGAGAATCTTTGTGAGCTCTTCTTTACTATGACTGGGGTTTGTGATCATTAATATTCTCATTAAGAATGGATTTTCTAGATTGGAGAAGCATGTCAGCAGCTCCTGCTTTTCCAAACTCTGAGCACTTAGTGCAGAATCCACCCTTCAAAAAGGGTGGACATTTCTCCATCTGTAAATAAAAACTTTTTCTAATTACTTTCTGCCCTTCATCTCTGGCTGGGGATATTTTCCAGTGTAATTGTCTGCAGAATTACTGTTGATGCAGAAAACAGACTCCTAGAATTACAGATATTGAGGGAATAAATGTAGTAAAACTGTGTGAAGGCATTAACCATCCTGCACACACAGAGAACCTGCTGGTACTTTGCAATGCAGGAAGCAACCTGGTGTTAACACTGATCTGATCAAGAATAAGTTACTATGTTTCTTGATTTGGTTTTTGCTTTTTTTTTCTATTTCAAGGAGTGTGGCTTGGCCAACGAGGAACTGGCAGAAAAGGAGAGGAGGAGGATGAAGGACTGCTTTGAGCGTTACCGAAGGTCTGGGCTGCAGTAAGCAGGGCTAACCTAGAAATATCCATGATTTGTATTTCCCCTTTCCTGTCCCTAAGCTTGATTCACAAAGGGCATAAAATGAACCACAAAAAGGGACTGATACATAGTAGTATGAAATGCTCATTGTTTGCAGAAAATATCCTCTGAAAGTTGTATGTCCGGTCTTGTTTTCAGAAAAAGAGCGATGAGAAGGGCGCCCAAAGACCGGCACCATGAGGCGGATTGGGAGAACACCTCTGGCAGCGACAACACCGACACCGAGGGCTCCTGAGAGAGGGACAACACCAAAGTCCCTTGGAAAGGGACAACACCGACACCACAGGCTCCTCAGGAGCCAATCTCTGAGGGAAACACCAGCTTCTATAGCGTGGCTGCACCTCTCAATTTCACTCACGGACTGTTTGTATTTTAAAACCATCCAAACAGCTATTTATAAAAAGTGCCGCAGCAGCGCTATTGCCTGGCTCTGACGTGCCCCTTCGATTAATAAACAAGTTTAAATATGAGACAGGGCCGGGCTGAGCTGCTGGTTAACGAAGGGTTAATGAGGGGCCTTGCCCGACACCCTCATGGCCGCTGCCCGCACCCAACATGGCCGCCGGTGCCTCAGGGCCCGCCCCGCGCGCATGCGCCCTGCGATGCGGCGCGCGCTGAGGGCGCTGCTCCGGGAGCCGCCGCTGCAATGGCGGCCCCGCCGCCCCCCGCCCGGCCTGAGGGGCCCGGCCCGTACCGCCCCGGGACCTCTCTGCGGTCCGGTCCGCCCGCTCTACACCGCCCCGGGGCCTCTCTGCGGTCCGGTCCGCCCGCTCTGCACCGCCCCGGGGCCTCTCTGCGGTCCGGTCCGCCCGCTCTGCACCTCCCCGGGGCCTCTCTGCAGTCCGGTCCGCCCGCTCTGCACCGCCCCGGGGCCTCTCTGCGGTCTTGCCCGCCAGCTCTGCACCGCTCCGGGACCGCCGCCAGCCACTCATTATCGCCTGGTGTACACCTGCAAGGTGGGCGTGGGGCCGGTGGGTTCTGAAGGCACCGTCGCTGAAGTGGCTGGGGGGCTCCTGGTGTAGCTTTTTAAACTTGCAAAGACTAATTCGGAGTGGAAGAGTCTCTACAGGGTTCAAGTCCAAGCTCCGTGTTGGAGAAGGATGTTCGGGGTCTTGTGAGTATCTCTGAGGGTGAAGATCCACAGCCTCTGTGGATCCTCCTCATTAGAAAGCAGTAAAACCTCTCTCAGCCTTTGTGTCTCGGGCTGAACGCACGATATTATAACATGATGGAGCCGACTTGGGATAATCAGAGGAAGACGCTTTTAATGGCTAGAGCATTTTTGTCTTAAAAGTCCCAGGAGCTGCACCTACCGTGCTCCTAAAATCCGCTTTTTTTTTTTCAGGTGTGCCAGACGCGCTCAGCCAAATCCATCTCTAAGGCCGCCTACCACCGAGGGGTGGTGATCGTCACCTGTCCTGGCTGCGGGAACCACCACGTCATCGCTGATAACCTGGGCTGGTTCTCCGACCTGGAGGGAAAGAGGTGAGGATGGTGAGAATGGTCCTCACACCCTGCTCCCAGGTGCAGCTTCCTAGGCTGATAACTTATTGCAGTGATTCTTAAAGAACGTGGCTCGTACTAAAAGTTTCATCCAGTTCAGTAAAACACAGACTCTGTTTTCAGTCGCTGTAATTTGACTGTCGCTGTTTAGGATCCAAATAAATTGGTGTGAAGCTGCAGCAGAAGCTGTGGGATACACAGGGCTCCTTAGTGGTGCCAGCAGGTGATTTGCTGTTCCCCTCAGCCTTCATCACTTCACTGCTGGTTTTCCTTGGATGTTTCAAGTGTGTAGATTGATTTGCTGTGGGATTCCAGTGATTTCTAACTTCCTGAGATACCTTTAAAAGCTTCTGTTTAGCTGTAATTGCTAAATTATTGATCCTAGTGGATGAAAGTAGTCCCAGAAGGTTTGGGTGTTTTTCTGAGGTTAATTTTGGGTGGTTTTCGTGGTGATGTGTCTGTGATTCCCTGTGTAGTGCTGGTCCTGAGGGCAGAGTGCATTGAGCTGTGTGGGCCATTGCTGTGGTGTCACTGTTGCTTCTTAAATCACTGTCCAGGAATATCGAGGAGATCCTGGCAGCCAAAGGGGAGAAGGTGAGACGTGTGGCTGGTGAGGAAGCCCTGGAACTGCTGCTGGAAAACTCAGCAGAGCCCGGGCCCCAAGGTCAGCTGGCAGAGGGGGACAGCGGGGAAGCCCCCCCAGATCCTGGCAGCAAGGGACACACCTGACACGAGGGACTGTGGCCTCTGAGACACACCTGACACATGGGATTTGGGTGATTCTGCTTCTGGCAAGAGACTCTTCACCTTCATTCCCTGCCTTCAACTGTCTGATTTTAAAATAAATTCGAGTGTTGGGTTTTCTCTGTTGTGTGTCTTTGCCTTTGATCAAGCTGATGTCTTTAGAGATGGTGTTGGTATTTTTCCTGGTACTCGTTTTGATGACTTTCAGGCAATTTTCAGTGCTCCAGCAATGTCCTGTGCCTGGCTTTGTTCCCTGCTAAGAAGGTAGACAGAAATTCTTTGTCTGTGTTGTTTGACCTGGCGAGGTGCAGCTGGAGCTGGAGGTTTTAGGGATGCTCAGGTGTGGCAAGTGAAGAGAGAGGGCAATTGATACCACCTGAGGAGATTGGTCCCAAAATTCTAAAGCCAAAATAACCCTGCAGGAAGGTCAGATCACCTGCTCTTAATGCAGTCAAATGCTGCTTTTATCTGTTCTTTTGACATCTTCCAGACTTCTGTTTCTGTGCTCCTCATGTAAAAGCTGAAAGGTTTGTATCTTGATCCCATTTGAGCTCCAGCATGGGGGTTTTACAACTCCTTGTTGGTGAGGGGGAGTGTGGGTGTGAAGGCAAAATTAATAGTTGTGGAGCATGGTGGAGAGAAGTAGAGGACCTATAAAGTTGTCTTGGCATATATTGAGGGGCTTATTAGTGCTGCTGCAGTATGTTAAGGTTAGTTAGAAATTTAAAAAGTATTAAGTGACAGATGTAGGAGTGTGTCAGCACGCAGCTTTCAGGTGGTGGTGGATCAGGCACTGAGGTGATCATGTTGTGCTTTGTTAGGGCTTGTTTCCTCTGCACAGTGCAATAGATTTCTTAGGGTTTTGAGCTTGTAATCAAAGTTTAGTTCAGTTTGGAAGAGCCTGCTGGAGGATTCCAGTCCAATCTGCTTGTCAGATATTTAGAATCTTGTGAGTATCTCTGAGGGCAGAGGTCCCACAACCTCTATGGATCCCCCTCATCATTCAGCCACAGAAAGCAGTAAAACCTTTCTCAGCCTTTGTTCTCTCAGCCAAGCATGTCCTGGTGCTTGTGGTGCTTCATCAGCCAAGGATTCATTGAGGGCATTGCAGGCATTAATGAGTTTCCTTCATCTGGAGTGTTCATAACAATTTTGTGTTGCATTTTAAGTGTTGGGTCAGAGCACCAGGAAAGCTGTCATGTTCCTGTGGGTGTGTCAGTGCAGAGTGATGAAACTGGGGCAGAAACTTCATCAGCCAGCTCTGTGTGCTGAGATCCTGGTGAGATGCAGCTCTCTCTGAAACAGCCAGCTGCTGGAGTGACCCAGGACTGACAAACAGGATCTTGCATCTCATGTTCTCCCCCTGAGCTGGGCTGCTGGCACCTATTAGCACTGCTGGAAAAGTGTTTGTTTTATTACCTTTAATCTGAAAATCAGCATTCTGCTTCCATGGTGCTGATGCCTTTGATGGGGTGGAACAGAGCAGCTGTTGCAGGAGCCGTGTTGCCTTGGAAACAAATCATTTACAATCTGGCTTTTTATACTGTTTTCCTCACCTTTCTTACCTGTTACTGGGTCCCAGCTACAGGAAGGTGGTGCAAATTTTTGCAGTGTTATAGTAAAAAATGTGGCAAAATGTAGCAAAATCGATGTTGGCAGCTCCTAGATTTTAGTGTTTCCTTGTCCCAGTGCCCTCTGTCACCAGGTGCTCTTTGGGGGCAGGACAGAGACAGGTCCCTGTCCCCTGAGGCTGCCTCTGCAGCTCTGAGCATGGAGGGTGGCAGTTCTTGCTGCTGCTCTGAAAGTTCAGGCCAACATCAGGGGAGGGAATTTGCACATTATACAAAAAGATTTGCTGCTAAAAGATCACAGGTTAAAAACCAAGATTTTTTTTTGCTCCCTTTTGAAGCTGTTTTTTCTGAAAAAGGTTGTCATGGGGCAGTAGGTTTGCTCTGGAGAGGGGACACAGGTAAGCACACGGGCTTGCTTTAGCCAAAGGTTGGGAGTGAGGAGAAACAGCCATTCTCCTAAGGTCTCTACACCTCTGGGTGCTTGTGTACAGCTGGGTAGGAGAGGGGCAGGATCTCGTGTTTCTGCTGGATTTTTAGGGTTCTTCGTGAAGAGGATTTTCCCTGCACCGGGGACAGCTCAGCTCCCAGTAACTCACACTCCAGAGCTGCAGCAGCAGCAGCACTTCCCGGGCCGGCAATGCCGCGGCTCTCCAGAGGATGTCAGCATCAGAGAGCTCTTCCTGACCTGGGAACGAGCCTGGCAGCGTGGGAGAGAGGACGATGCAGCACAGCAGCCACCACTGCAAGGCTGCTCTGGAGACTCAATGGTAGCCAGAGCCCCTTTGCTCACAGGAGCTCAGAACGAGCCCGTGCTGCTCAGGATGGAGAGACAGGAGGTGAGACACCATCACTCACCCCCAGGGATCACCTGCTCCTGGGAATCTGAGCCTCTGCACACCTGAGGGCACAGTTGTGTCCCCAGGTCACACACACAGAGCTGCTGTGCCCAGGCATCCAGAGGTGTGAGAACACCTGATGAGAACAAGCTGCTGGCTCTGTATTAACCTTTGTTCAGGGCTGGCAGCGGCCAGCACAAACGAGCCAGGCATGGGAAGCTCAGCTGTGACTTGGCTTTATCCTCACAGGGCTCAGGATCCAAACTGCTGCTCCCAGGCCACCTTCCAGCCCAGTCCAACACCCTGCTCCTGCCTGCTGTGCTGGAATGAGCTGGAGCTGCTGCTTTGTGTCTGCTCCAAGGGCTGGTGCCAGGGCTGTGCCCAGCACTCCCTGCCCTTGTCCCCTGGCTCTGGGGAACATCCCAGCTTTGGGCCAGGCGCCGGGGCGGCACCGAGACTGGGCAGAGCCTGAAAGGAACAGCTCAGCCTCTCCTCAGCCTTTTCCAGTGGCCTTTTCTCAGCCATGCAGGGCTGCTCTGTCTGCCCTGTCGTCCTGGAAACTTCTGGGCAAGAAATTCTCAGGGCTTTGTGCCTTCTCTCCCATGGTGGCAGGCAGGGAGAACTGGGATGGTGGTGGCTGCAAAGAAACCCATGTGCTCATAGTGTAAAATGATGGGGGCACAGCACTTTTCTTAGCACATGTGGTGGTGCCTGTTACCAGAGACCCCCCCCCATTCACCCCCATCCCTATTCCTAAGGGCCAGGATTAGTCCTGCTGTCAGCCAGGAAATAATGGAAATGAGTATTTGCACTGAAGCTTAGACACAAATATTTATTAAGCACAATTCCCCCCACCCCTTCCCCTTGAGCTGTATTCATTTCTAATATATTAATCCATTTGGCAGATTATTTTTTAGAAAAAAAACAAGTACCTGTGGGTTGGAAATTCCCCATTAAAATGACATTAGCAAATGCACATGTAAAAAATAAATAAGCTCATACATTCAAGTATATGCCAAATAATACCTCAATAATACCTCTGAAAGCTTAATGGTCAGGTTCCAGTTCACCACCTGGCTAAGAGCTGCACAGGCCTGAGCCTGCAGCTGGTTAGGTCATCATCATCATCACTGTTTTCCTCTTTTACAAATGCCAGCTTGGCTGGTAGGTAGGGGATGGGCAGCTGCTCCTCTCCCCTCTCCAGAGCTCTGCCCAGCCTTGGCCAAGCAGCAGGTGAGTGCTCCCAGGTAGCAGGTAAACTGCAGCTACCACTCCACATGGTCAGTGCAGGCAGGGTAAATGCCCCAAGAGCAGCATCACTGGTCTAAAAATATCCCTCTGCTGGTTGGGAATGTTTCCATGGAATGCATTTCGAATGGGAAGTGCTGATTTATTCTCTGCAGGAACGGCGCTGCTTCCGCACAACTCGGCGCTGGAGTTTCTGAAGTCCAGCATAGGGTCTGCTCAAGCAAAGGAAAAATACAGGTCCCTGCTCCCCTCCTCCAGCTTTTCCAGCTGGTCCAAAAGGGGAAGGAATGCCAGTAAATGTGAGTTCCCAGCCAGCTCCCCAGGCTGGGGCTCTCCTGAGGCTCCAGTGGCTGCAGACAGGTGCACAGGACCAGAGTGTCTCACTGGGAGCAGCTCACTGCTGGTTTGGGGAGAAACAAGAGGAGGGAAGGGCCATGGGCCTGAGCTGCTGTTGGACACAGAAGGAAGGAGGGATGAGCCATGGGCAGAAAGCTTTGCTGGCTGTTGAAGCAGGGCCCTGTGACACACAGGTTCTGTTTTGGACACCCTCACATCGGCTCAGTGGCAGCAGGAGCTGTCCCTGTTTGCTGTGGGCTGAACACTTGGGCAGAGACCTCTTTCCTCTTTCCCCCTGCCCAGGAACAGCCCCTGCCATGGGGCTGCAGTGGGCTCCAGAAGTAACAAATCCCACTAAAGCTCAGAGTGAGAGAGGCTTTACCCCTGCTCAGGAGGTCCTGCGGGGCTGCAGCTGGAAGCAGAGAATGTCCAGGGCTCTCCAGAGAGTCCTCAGCAAACCTAAAATACACTCAGGTGTGTGGGACCAGGATGCAGCTGGGGTGGAGGAAGATTTAAAGGACTTGGGCTCTTTTTCTCCTGTAGAAGGAACAAAGCTGAACAAGATGTTCCAGAGAAGGATCCAAAGCCATTTGTGTTGGGAAGACAGGAGGACTTCAAAATGGAAAAGGTGTTCTTCCCTTTCCCTGTTTAAATAAGAGTGTTGTGGAAATAAAAGACATCAAGGCTGGAGTTAACTACCCCTGTGGGCTCCTCCAAGTTCCTGGGGTTTTAGGTGATCAGCAAGGGGCTGCTAAAGTCTTCCAGGTGCCGTGCCCAGTGATAGAGTGGCCGAGTGTCCTAAAAAAATCCCTTATTTAAAAACTGTCCCCCATCCATTGGGCTCTCCCATAGGAACACGATGGAGGTGCAGCTCCTGGGACAAGACTAGGAGCACAGGAGCACTCGGGCTTGAAACCACCTACTCTGTTTTTTCCTTTTTAAAAAACAAAATAAAGCTGAAACAACCCCCCCAGAACAAAGCCCAGTTCTTAGCTGGAACCAGGCCTCTGCTGCTCCTCCTCGGCCTCCTCCTGGGCTGAGGCCAAATCCACACGCTGCTCGTCCATGCGTTTGGCCTGGACACGCTGGATGAGGCTGAAAAAGTCTTCATCAGGCATGGTGGGGCCAC